CCTGGAGTGCCAGCCATTTGCCCAAAGCTCCTCTTCGGAGCCGATTTCCCACTCAGCTCCTCCAGGCTAGCGGCAGCAGCAGCAACTAGCAAACACCTGAGAGTCTGTTGAACTCATCATAAGAACTACTTCTCAGTCCAACGCTCCTGAGAACAGTAGTTATCGGCATCATGGAGAAGCATTGTAGTGATAATGAAGGGAAGGTGGAGTTTGTGAAAGAGCAGGAGCTTCTTAAAGAGACAGAGGCCAATTTCAAGGCATCAAACTGAAAGGTCCATTTCTTTTAACGAATGTTTGATATACGCAGTATTATTATAACAACTGCAGATAACAGAGTTACTTGATTGTGCTATAAAATGGTAATATATGCCTAGAAAATGCATAATGCCACGACATGAAAAAGATTTTGTCTCTTCCCTCATGGCTTTATATTTCGCTCCAAAGATGCCAGTATTTCTAATGTTCGTTTTAAAGTTGGTTTTTCAAACAATTCCTGGTTTTCTGAACGTCTTTGAGGTTTCTTTAAAGTTTTTATTTCGAGTTATGTCTTTTCTTTATCAGGCACAGTAACTGAATAGAGTAAAAAAAAAAAAGCAGACAAATTTAAAAGAAAAACTTCTGATTTTGAGAAACTTAAGAGAAATAATGATCCAGAAAAGGACCATTACATTATGGAACGAATTAAAAGGATATTCTGGATGTCTAAACCATTTGGACCTTCATGTGTAATGAAGGGAATTAAACAGAAAAAGCAGGGACGGTGTTGGATAAAAAGATTCCTCAGCTCCACAGAAGCGCCTCAGTGCGGCTGGTGACAGCAGCCATGTTTCATCAGCGCCTATTTAAAGCCGACTGACTCGGCTCCTGAGTTAATGACTCGGTGACGCGTGGCTGCTTTAAGGGATCACTCTGAGGGCATTATCACATGTCTACTGTAATCTCCTGACTGGTCCTCCTGCCAGGCTGTAGATTAGGTACTTACTTCTTTTTAGCTCACGTGTTTTTCAAACTCGCTGCTGTGACTGACCAGATTTCTGGTAAACATTGCTTTGAACGGCGATGAACAAAATCACAGTGCAGCTAATGGACTTTATGCTACTTCCAACACTAACTAAACTCCCAACCAATGAATTTTGACTAAGGAAGTCAGCTGAATGTCTAGTCAAGTCAATATTATTTTGTCTAGGACATTTCAGCAGGACGGCTGTTCAAAGTGCTTCACGTCATGCAGACCAAAACCAGAAGATACATTAAAGATACAACAGCAGATCTTTAATGTATTTTGGTGTTAGGTCATTCAGTGATTTATAAACTTACAGAAATATTTTTAAAGTCTATTTTTTGAGCTACAGTGAAAGGGCTTTAAAACTGGGGTGATGAGCTCTATTTTCCTGGTTCTAGTGAGCAGCAGCGTTCTGGATTAGCTGCAGCTGTCTGGTTGATTTTTTTACGCAGACCTGAGAAGTCACTAAAGACTAAAGAGCCAGCTTTTCTTCCTCCCTCTCCTCCTCCTCCTCATGTCTTTCTTTCTTTCCAGGGGCTGACGTAAACGCGGTGGACTCCTTCCGGGGACGGTGCGCTCGTGACTGGACCCTGAAAACAGGTCGCTATGAGACCTTCCACCGTCTCCGCCGCCTCACCGTGCGGCCGAGAGCCGAGCAGTTCTGTGAGAGCTACGTCCCGGAGTGGCCCGACCTCGTGGGCAGAGTGACCAGGGCGACGTCTCAGAAGACGTCTGCAGAGAAGATCACACTGCGAATCAAAAGCACATTTGGATTCAGCTTTCCTCGTGACCCCCAGGAGAACGGGGTCATGGACCACATGGTGCGCATGACCACCAGCGTCCACAGTCCGCTCGTCGTGACCGCGTGCCACCCGCTGCTGCCCACCAGCCCACCCGAGGTGGGGAAGAGACGGCTCGCAGTGCCGGAGCTGGTGAAGAAACATCCGCAGAAGGATCTGGGAGAAAGCTCGGTGTGCCACAGCAACGGCTCGGTGTCGTACGTCTCCCCCTGCATCCACTCTGCAGAGACAGTGGCCGCAGTGTGCTGCCCTGACACCGAGCGCAGAGGCAGCATCCTGTCGGTGGCCTCCAACAAGGTGGCCACCGCCTTCATCCCCCGAAGCATGGCGAGACGCAACAGCGTGTTCCCGTCTGGGTGCATCCCTCAGATCAACGTGAACAAGCCTTCTGACCCAACGCCAAAGAAAGAGAAGAAGAAGAAGAAAGACAAGGGCTACCTGGAGCCGCCTAAGTGGAAATACAAGGAGCACAAGGACGAGAAGAAGAAGGAGAAGAAGAACGCCGAGAAAGACAAGGAAGGAAAAGGGAACAGAAAGGATAAAGAGAGCAAGAAGGCAAAAGATTAATGGTGGAAACAAATAACTCCAAGGCACCCTCCTCTGGATAATGACAATAATTCATGATTCACGCAAAAGCATGCCTGAATTTGATCTTCTAGACCATTTAAAGCTGCTAAAAGCGTTCTAGTGAATGTTTTATTTTATTTGCCTTGGAGTTTGGGGACGTTCAACTTCATGCCCATCTGAGGAAAAACATCTAAAATCAGCCCTGAGGCCCAGGAAGCGTTTCTTCCACACAGACATCAGTTTAGAAATGTTTTGGCAAGATTTTGCTTCACCTGAAGCTCTAAAAGTCACAAAAATACCTTAAATGTACAAAATATTTATATTTAATTTTAAACGGTGTAGCTATATTTGAACATTTTTGGTACCGGTAAAAACTCCAGAGACGCTTTTTCATAAGATGCAGCACATAAAACCCATGTTGAATCATTTATTGACAGATATAGTGCCTACATCATCACCCATTTAATAAAACCAGTAAGTCACAGATCAGGTGTTTGTCTACATTTGTTGCCATGTGGAAGCTAAATTATTGCAGCGTATTATACACTAGGTGGCTCTGACTGCCTGCAGGATCACTCTGCTCTTTGGAGTCCTCCAAACCTCCTGAGACAGATTTCAGCTTACAACATCGTGCTGCTGCTCTGTTCGCTCCTGTCAACCAGTTTTCTTTGCTCGTCAGCAATTTGGATATTTTGGGGGGAAATGCAGAAACTTGTCCTCATGCTGCTGGAACAGAGAGACCACCTGGACTACTGTTGAGCTCAAGTTATTAAAAATAAACATTTCCCAGAATCATCTCCAGCTGCTGCCACCAGGGTTAACGTAAGACGGCGCTGCGCCGCATCGAAACGTTTACAGAAACCCTTCCAGGAAGTCGCAAGGCCTCTTATTATTCAGGCTAAAAGCTGTTCAGATGGTCTTCCTCCTCTGCTGTGTAACTAGAAGATTTAACTTTCTGAATTTGGCTTGAATATATAATAAATGCCACTATTTATACTCCTGACTTATGTTTTGAAGTATTTTTATTTCACCAAAATGTTTCTTCTGACTGAACATTAACAGTTAAAATCCCAAATAAAATCTGATGGAAAACCTGTGAAGGGAGCTAAAGATTAGGGTGATGGAGAGGAGACCTTCCGGCCTCATCAGCAAAGATAAATCGTCAAAATAAAAATAGAAAACGCTAGTTGGCAATTAAAAGGACTTTGAGAGCAAAGATGATCCCACTATTCATTTGGAGGAGTATAAATAATTTTCCACTTTCCATTTTTGTCAAAATGTAAATAAAAATATTTGCTTTAAACCGATTGTCCGTGTACATCCATCTATTCCCACTTGTCTGTGCAGTCACAGAGGACAGCTGGTTTCCATGTCCAGATGGTCAAAAGGCAGAAAACCCAGAACAGACTTTATGTTTTTTTCACTCTGCTTGTTTTCTGATGCAATCTCTTTCAATAAATGTGGGTGAAATGTCTTTGTTTTGCTCATATGTAGCTTTTAAAGTGACTCCAGTGACCCAAAAGTGAGAAAAGTGTCAAGAAAAGAAGAAGAAAATGCAGAATCCACTCCGGTGGAAGTTAGGACATGCAAATTAGAAAAGCAAAGGTAAAACAAAGGTTTTATTTGACATGTTTTAAATTAAGGTATCAGATTAGTACAAAAATGATGCATTTACATGCAGATGGACACACTTCATCAGGCATAAAGCAGGACATTTAATGTTCCTCACACACATCCATCTTGGAAAATGGAATGTCAATGCTGGTTCTGTGATTCTTAGTGATTATGTCCTATAAACAATGGATCAAAACCTAAAAAGAACTAAACAATTAATCAGTTACGTTTTGACTGCAAACACTGTAGCTACCAAAAACAGGAAAACATTTTTAACTTCACCATAAAGTTCAGAAAAAGCTTCATAAAATGAAGATTTAGCATTAATGACAGAATTATTTTTTCCAATAATGTCATCAATCAAAGTAGGTCACATGCAAAAAAAAAAACAAATGTCTGAGTACGATAAACAATCCGTTACATATGTAGTTTACATGTGGCAGGACACAACACACAAAATAAAACAAAATATACTCGTATATGTATTGATATTTGGACAGTTAGATAAGAACAAAGCTGAATGGTGATTGCTGATCAGAGTATTTATGTTTTGGTGGAACCTGGATTATTCCCACAGGTTGCAGCTGTAATCCTAAAACTGCTTGTGCAAACCCCTTCAGCTGCAACCTGCAAAAACCCAGACGGAAAGAACAAATCCAGACGTTTACCACTTTTTTTTTTAATATTTAATGGCAAAAATGTTTTCAAACATTCCTGACTTGACGTTTTGATGCTGGTGAACGTTTTTGGTGATGCTCAAGTCGAAACTGAAATAATGCTTACAATGATATAGATCAACACAACAACACCTGCCTTTAAATAAACGTCCTAAATTAAATGAACAAACAAGAAGAGAATAATCCGACACAAGCTTTAAAGAAAAAGTCTCGGGGGGGTTTACACACCGATGCCGATTCGCTCGAGTTGCAACATCCAATTAAACTCTTAGAGAAGCTTAGTGCCTTCACTGTTTTCAGCCTCAAAATGAAATTAAATGCTGGTAAAATGGGGGAATGTTTTTTTTTTAAATTACTTCATAAACTATTAAAAGGGCAGAGATGGTGACTGTGCTGCATTCTTCACATTTCTTCTTCTTTCAAATCTCTGGTCAACTACTGGGGGCTTTGAATTTGGCTCAATTTAAAGAAGTTTTTATAAGTCCTGTGCTACTAGGTATAAATTTCAGTATTGCTAAAACTGCGGAGACAGAGAAGTCTTTCTGTGTGGGCGTTATCGGAGATGACGACGCATTCTCTCACTGAGCCTCCCACATGCTTGTGCTTTCCCTTTGCTCTGGTCTCATCCCAAAACAGCATTCCTAATTACTCCCTAAAGTTGTGCCTGTCGAAAGAAAAAAAGAAAAAATAAAACAAAATCCAAATGTACTGAATATAAGCAGCATATCGTGCAGCAGCTCGTCAGCTTTACTCACCCTCTTCTCCGTCGGTCAACACCAGCGCCTGGAGGATGTCGGAAAGGGAGACGATTCCCTTCACCACTTCGTTCTCATCGACGACCACGAGTCTGTGAACCTGGAGGAGACAGAGGACCGCCACCCAAATGAGCCTCAGTTCTGCCGAGTGCAATAATTCAATGCTACCACAGGACAAGAGAATGAACAGAGAGAACGAAGAACCAACATGTGAAATTAGCTGGAATAAACGTGCTGGGTACATTTCAGTCTCCTGCTGATTTACTGAAGTGATGACACACATTTAGAGGGATAAAAGTTGTGAGTTTTTATGCGCAAACTTCACAAAATTAATCCGAAGAAGCCAGAAAGATTTCCACCTCCTACTGAACATATTTGGTCTTCTACACATGGATACAATGTCATGTTACTTCCTTCTCCTACAAACTCAAACAAGAATGAGAGTGAATGCAAATTTAGAGCAAAATGAAAGCTAGTTAAATCTGCTACAGTTTTAGTTAGTAATTTGAATACCATGAAAGACTGACTGGATCTCTAGCGTCAGATAAAGATAATGGAAAACGTGAATTATTTTGTTACTCATCCGTCTTACTCAGTAACTGTGAGTCTTTACTAACTCCAGCTTGGTGTTGGTTTTCATATAAGACACTGTAGATGGAAAACATGAGAAAATATTTCAATAAGTGTCAACCTCAGCTGTCTAAAACTACCAGGTCGTATATTGTGACAGCTGATTTGCTCTGTTTCCTGCAGTACAATCTGAAGCTTCTAAGGCAGAAATAGATAAAAACTTAATTTTTCTCCTCGCCTGGAAAAACAAGAAATTAGTGACCATTTATTGAATTACTGTTGTGCTTTCTTTTTCTTGTTCAGGACGTGAAAAGCAGCTTTTCGTGTCCTCCACTCCTCACCTCGGCCTCCACCAGTCTGGTGATGATGGCTTCCAGGGTCTCGTGTCTGTTGCAGGTCAGGACTCCCTCAAAGTACTGCGAGCGATGCTTCAACGCCTTGGTCACAGTCACGTCCAGGTTGTTGTACGTCTTCTCTGCAGCCAGATTCTGTTAGAGGGGAAAACTCTCAGTGTATGATGTTTCACAGAGAAGGGCATTTTCACAGAAATATATCTAAGAGAAGCAAACAGCAGCGTGACTCTGAGGCTCACGCTCCGGCGCTGGAAACACAAACACCGCGCAGCAGCTTCTCTCGGTTGTTTTGAACGTCCCTCCAGGATCCGGCCCTGCTCTGCTGTTAAACTGGGGCAACTTCTGGGATGAAAAGTCAGCATGACTCTGAATGTGGTTTCTTAATCACCTCCATTGTGACCCAGAGAGGAAACCACCAGACAGCACTTGTTCACTCTGCATGCAGGGCTTTGCTTCACCCCTCAGTGACCCTCACTGATCCTGGTCACGCTCTGTCCTTAGCTTCTAAAGTGCCGTCGCCGCCCCGATACTGAGACGAGATATGAGGCTTGCATGTTCTTCAGATGATTCTGCCTTTAAGATCTGTAAGCAGGTCTTTCGTGTTATCTTCAGCAAATTGAAGGATTTATATAAATAATCAAATGTAATTAGGAGAAGAACACATTATTCTTAAAATCACAGCTGTGAGAAGTTGGAAGGCAACACAAAAACCCTTTTATGCTTCCTTCATTTAGGATGTTCATTATGTTTTTTTGCACAACATTTTTATTAGATAAGATTTTAGCCTGTTCAGTTCTGTCTATTTTCACAATGAGCTGTCCACTGGTCACTTTAAATCCAAATGAGCTGCTGCTTTCCACGCCCCCCCAATTCGACATTTACAGTCGCAC